ACCCGAATCTTGCATATGTTTCATCTGTTGATGATACAGTTCATTGATCTGCATATATGCTTGATCACGTTCCACATTTGCTTGCTCGATAATTTTCTCCCGCTCAGCATTGACACGTTCTCTTGCTACAATAACCAATCGATCGAGTATACTGAGCTTGTTAGTAACAAATTCTTCGGCAATTTGGATCTGTTCATCAGCCAATTTCACGTGTTTTTGTGCACATTCCATGCAAACTTGCTTGGAACAATGTAGACATTGCATTTGGGGTGGCTTACTGCAATCTGTGCAACTCCGAATAGAGAACGGCGAAATGATTGATGCTGCGACAGTTGAACTTTTCTAAACAGTAGATGATATTGAAGAAGCGGCACAGCTTGAATTTTGATACGTACATTTACATTCATGCCGTTGACACAATCGTTCAGTCCTTGTACCGCGAGAGCTAGAATGAAATTATTCTAAAGTATTACTTTTGTTGTGAGGCGCTCACTGTACCAAAATTATTTGCCAATGTAGTCAATGATTGCGATGGACAATGTTCATTTTCAGAGGCAAAACTATTGATCGGAGTATTCTGAAAATCAAACGTTCACTACAGTTGGTTCTATGAATAAAAGTAGATATTGATATTACGGGTACAGTTGGAACTCCAAATGAAAAATTCATATTTAATGGCAGAGAGAAGTTTGCAGCTGTTATCCATGAAGGTTTTGGATGATTTAAATAATATTTAAATCGAAGTTCCTACAAATAATCAGTTGAAACTGCATTGAAAAACGATCGTTTCTTACCTCTGGTGATTTATTCTCATGTGCTGGTGTGGCACATATTTTGATATGTTTTGTGTGGATCGGCGTCTGAACATCCTCAACGTCTATTTTGTCTATACCTTCAGCAGGAACAAACGTGTTCGTAGCTTTAGCTGAAATTTCCACTAATGACAATTGTGATTTTCTTCTACCTAAAGACAAAATCGAGTTTCTTTTTTAGAAATATGTCAAAGAAATTGAAGTTTGATTTTATATACCTTTTATTATTGTTCGATCATTCATACTTTTAATTCTTCTTCTCTCGCGTCTCCGCACAAAATAAATTTACAAATGAAACAAAACGCTCCGTCGATCGAAGAATGTTGTAGATGAGAAAGAAAACAGAACTACAAAAGCAGAATTATATTTGCACGTGTTTTCAATTGCTGGTAAACAAAAGAGTATCTTGACAATATAGTGACTGGCAAACATCCAAAGAATAAATTCTATATTTATTTTCATCGTTAGTTTTATTTGAAACACAAAAATTGAAAAGAAACAAGATTATGACAATGTCTGATAACTATGAAAGTCATGGAGAAGGATCACCTTATTTTCCAGAACATGGAGGCTGTAAAACGTTCTGAGGATAGGATCCGCCAACGTTTCCACCCGGATAATAATTGCCCACAACATAGCATGTCGTATTATCTGCTGTACAGCAAATACCAATACCAAAACGAGTCGAGCCCACCCAAACCGTCTGAGTAAAATGCCCTGTATTCGATGCAAAGCCAGGTGATGCCCAATTGTAATTAACGTACTCGCTAAACCAATCTTCAACTGGACTTGAACCTGAAAGACATAATTTTGATTGTAAATTCTTTTTCAAATAGATTTACCATTGATAGAATTGATGTTTGTTTGACCACTTCCACCATAATCCCATATATTTTCACCTAACCAATTCCCTTGATACGTATTTCCACTGTGTACAAAAGTATTCGTATCGCACAATTTTTGTGCATAAGTTTGCGCAATTGCCGTTATGTCGGCATCTAGTGTCATCGCAGGAGCACAATATGCTGCGCGATCGACATTCGTTTGTGCCAATGCTTGCTGTTGGAAAAGATTGGGAGTGAACACTGTGGTGGTGGTAGTCGTAGTACCAGACGTTGTCGAGGTTGCACCTGCATAATGAAAGTACGATCACTAAGAGGATACCTGAATCCCGTCCAAGGCACTATAATCAAGTCAACACACCTATCGATCACGTTTTTACATCGCTTCTGACTTTTATTTTGAATGATTCCCTTTCTGATTAGACCGTGATACAATCTGCAGTATGTTTCATTTTCATTACTGAAAGTAATTATACTCGTTTCGGTATGTTATTCGGCTTAAACAACGTTCCTGGAAAATTACTTATTGCGCTCTTTTTTTGTATTTGAAGTTTTCACTCGTTTGCGTGTTAAATGATGTTCATACGTCTAGGTACTAAGTATTCAATTGCTTAGAACTGTACCTGCTACTGCGGTTGTAACGCCTGAGGTGCCTGGAGATGTTGACTCTACGACTGAATTGCAGAACATGACTTGGAAGTTGAATGGTCGTCCGTCAGCAAATGTAAATAAGAGAGGAAAATTATTGCTGGTAGCGAGACGACTTTGAGCATTCGTGAGAAATTTTTGCTTGCAGATCTGTGATACACCACATGATTTTGGATAAACGATGGTCAGTTTGATTAGGAGACGGGTAAAGTTTTGATTTAATGCTCTTGAATTACATTGAAACCTGAACAGAAAAATACTCACTGATAGAGATGTTACTGAAATGTATCGTACTTACGATTGGCGTTTGTTACGTTGATTCTCCAAATCACGACGACGACGACCGGTACTGCTTGAGCTGTCGGTAGTGAATTGGACATCGTAGACGTTGATCGAATTCGATGTTAAACCAGCAGCTGTTTCTAACTACACATTTCAATTGATGAGATTAGTATGCAATTAGTAGTCGAGTATCTGACTTGTCGAGCAACACTGGCTGTGTTTGTAACCGTTGTATTTTGTGTACTGGTGAGGTTAAGAGTTGAAGCATAGGTATTCGTAATGTAGTTTGATTCTAAAGTAATGCGATATCAGTAGATTATTTTACAAACAAATTCATTTTATAACCTTTCGACGAACTTGTCGCTGAGCTTGTTGCAGTATTTTCAAAGAATACCGGAATCAAAGAAACAACAATCACAACTGCAATTGCCAGAAGACCCAAAATTAAAAAAACTGCAAGACCGATCTTGATTCGTTTTGAACCGAACATTCTGAAAAATGATAACAACAGTAGATTATTCCATACGCTGTTGACTTTTAGAAATCGTTATAAAAAGCGTCGTATCAGATGCAGCAAAAGAAGTAGCAAATATTACGAGGGTTTTTGCATCGGCTCGTATTGTCCATCTGAATTAGACATGTCCATGTTGTTGATCATTGATAATTTCTGTTTTTGATGAATGACAATGATGAGAAAAATAATATTGAAAATATATATTTACTTTGACTTTTATTCGTTTTACCTGTTCGCTCTATGAGACGTAAATCGACTAATAGTACAGTTAACGTCTCGCTTTCTTATATGTATAATACTTCATAACTAATTATCAATTAACGTATGAATGATGAGCATGCATGACTGATTGTCATCTGATCAATATATTCACATGTATCAAATGCCAGATAGGGTTGTTTAAAGTAAAAGTACATACACGACCTATCGGTTATGAGGAGTATCAACATTTAACGTGAATGACACCTGTGTAACAGCTGGGTGTATTTTAGCAATAAAATGTTCATGACTATTGGCTGAAGTTTGCTTCGCTGAGATATATCAGATAATTTTCTTTTTATATGTTTTCAATCCTGTTGTCGAGTACGTCGACCTCGAAGAGAATATTCGTACTCAAAGAAAAATAACGAACAAGAAAACAGAAGAGTTACATCGTCTAGTCATCATCATATTTACTGGAAGAGAATGTGAAGTTTGACGTCTTCTTAGGGCGTGCCGAGTACTGCCGTTGTAGAGTTGGATATGATGAATAATCTTCATCATCATATTTGCTTGTAGAGGATGTAAAATCTAATGTCTTTTTAGGATATAATGGAACCTGTAGTCGTGGAGTTGGGTATGATGAGTAACTTTCATCTTCACTTAAGTCAAATGAGACTTCAGATTTATTTTGAGCATTACTATCGGCACTTGATAACTCATTAAAATCGTTGATAATTCTTTTGAAATTTGGCCGATGATTTTTTGACCAAGAACAGCAGGAACGAAGTATTTTATGAAAATTATCCGGCGCATTCAGATTATAACAAAAATGTTCGAATGCTTTAATATTGCGATCATCAGCAAGAGCATCCATCAGTGCGCCGTTGTCTCCGATAAAATCTTCCCAAGGATATTTTTTCGTTATTATTTCCAAAAGGACGCATCCATAAGCCCACACATCGGAGGAATACGAAGGTGGCTCCCGATGACTGGCGCAAAGTTCAGGTGCCCACCATCGTATAGCGCCTAAAACGCATACCATAGCAAAAAATTCTTTCTATGAAATAACCTACCTCTAGCCGCGTTGCTGAATGGTATGTCTGAGTCTTTGACAACTTTCGAAAGACCAAAGTCAGAGAGAACTGCTGTGTTATCTGATTTCAATAAGATATTATCCGATTTCAAATCAGCATGGATAATGTGCTTTTCAGACAAATAATTCAGAGCAAAGGCCACAGCGATCATCATTTTCTTACAATCACTCCAATACTTATTTGAATATGATGTCTTTCGAATGTACTTAAACATTGTACCTCCATCTATGTATTCCATGACCAGTAATATATGGTTTGCCGTGGGAATGACATCGATGTATCGAACAATGTTCGGATGACTCAGCGTTTTCAAGATATTCGCTTCTCTCATCGCTTCTTTCGATGAACTTGATCTTATAACTTTATAAGCGATTACTTGGCTATTACCATACGTGCCTAGATATACTGTACCAAACGCACCGTGTCCGAGTTCTTTTATAGGCTTCAGTAATGACTCTAAAAAGATAGTAGATACATATTTTTCTAGAGGTTCACGTTTCATCTTTCTATTCGAAATTACTTTTGTCAATTAGAACCCGTTTTATAGGTCTTCTTCTGGATGGATCTTTCGTTCGAAATTGGATAAATTCTGTAAGATCTATAGTATGTTCCTCCAAATAAGCATACTTGTCTCCATTCCTATATGCTTGTTCGAGTATTTCCGAAGGTTCTTCCA